AGAGGGTATTCATTGAAAAAAGAAATCTGCATCCTGGCATCAGGACGCATTGTCGCCAACGTGTTAAAGGGGCTGTGGTGGTGTTGCAGGTGTGGTTCAGCAACAGGCGAGCGAGATGGAGGAAGCAGATCGGAGGAGCGGGTGGAGGAGTTGCGTCGTTCAACGCCCTCGCTGCCGCTGCCTCCTTACCGGTGTCCGTCGTGTCTTATCGGAGTCCTCATTCTCATTCCGCCGGGTCGCAGTATCCCATCCCGGACCCGATCTCCTCTTACAGCCACGGTGAATCCAGAAATTCCTCTACGTGCGGCGACCGACGTTCGCGCGATTCCCTAACCGGTCGTGCGTATCTCTCGCAGACGGAGGTTCGACGTCGACGGCGTGGCATCGCGGGGGAGGGAACCCCCAATCCGCATTTCAGAGCATGACGGCCGGGATGCTGGGCGACGGCGGATCGGGTATGAGCACGGGCATGAGCATGAACCTGCTCGGTCATCAGATGGCCTCCTCCACCGCGACGGCGAACTCCACGTCCACGTCCGTTTCCATGACGAGTGGGAACGGGGCCGGGGAAGGATTGGACGCGTGGTCGGCGGCGTGCAAGAACGTCCCTCACGGGGAATCTTTTCCCGTCGCTTCCGTGCCGAATCCTGGCCCTGCCGCTTGGAATCATTCTCACGGTTTCATCCCGACCGATAACTATGGGTACGTTCCGGAAGGTATTTCCAGTCTCGCGACGGTCGTTCGGGACGGATCACGTTACTTCTTTCGCTTCTTGCGCAGTGGATCGTGTCTACTAAGTTTGGGGAACATACTAAAAACCATATTAAAAATAAAAATAAATGGATCGCGGAGATACTTTTCCAAACGCAGCTGTAACGAAATTTATTTTCAAGTCTGGATAATAGTACAGAAATAAAACAGATAATTCTGTGAGCTTATTTATTTAGAAAAGGTAGATGGATGAAGTAGGGTGGCAGGGGGAGAAGGGCAAGGTGGTCGAGACCCCTTACTGTCGGCAACCGTCAATATATCGGGTATCCAGAAAGTTCCTAAGTACGTTGGCAAAGACGACTCGGCCGGCATGCCCTCGACCGTCAGACCACGACAGAAGAAACATCGCATCGACACGCGTGGACACCCAGAAACTACTTCAGGACAAGTGTGGGAAAGCACGAGAGGGCCCGGAGACGTACAGAAAAATCACAGTGGGGTGGGGAGGGGGGGAGGGGCGAGGAGACTGGGGCGCAACCTATATTCGATGGACCTGACTACTCATCTGAACCATCCGATTGCACGCAGATCCCAGCACCTGTAAGGGCCTTAGAAATGGCAGGAAAAGCGGCTGATGTAAGTGAGGCACAGTTGCTACCGATGGGCCGGTTCGATGTGGTCCGATCGTCGATGCGAAAGAGACCACGGAGGCTTCGTGTGCCTATTTCGATAGGGACTTTCCGGACACTCGATGCAGGGATCGCACGTTTCTACGTTCACGGCCATTTACCATGTCATTTGCAGAATAGAATGTGTGATTCCATTCAAGTTTGCAGGGACGCCAGAATATCAGCTATTTTCTATTTCGTGCACCATTTTCAAACTGCTTTCTCGTAGAAAATAGTCTGCTATTACGGTGCGCTGAACAGGAAATAAGTAGCATATTCTATTTTGAAGTTTTTTTGTTTTATTAGCAATAGTCCCTGACACTGTTGACAACCATACCCAACATTTCTCAATTAAATCTTAAAGCTATTAGTGATGAAAACGGCTGGTGAGGGATTTCATCGTTCGAGGATTGAAACCGAAAGTTTCAGCTCGCGTTTGCAAATTTTGAGGTCACCGAGATTATTTCATGTTTTAAACCGTGAGTAGTAACCTGTACATTTAACAAAAATGATGCCTCAGTTGGGCAGTGATGTTTTACATTTTCCCCCAACACTCGAACTTAGATTACTGCTTTTTTGACCAAGCGACCTTTCGAAAGGATTTGCATTGTGCTTCTGCACTCAACAGACACCTCAATACTCATGCCCTGAGCTTAGGAGCCATGCCGTGATACTTGCCTTTCGGACGTTTTTCAGGGCGCTGAGCCAAAAAGATATGCTCATGTGTGCTGGGACATACCATCAGGGGACTCTGGAGCGGGGACTCCACTACTCAGGCCAATTCTCGACTGCTGCAGGCAGTTCAAGCTCCACCATCCCTAAACCGGACCTCAACCAGGGATTTCACTACAAGGCCCCAGACCACAACATCCATCTTGGCCTCTTTTAACCTCAATTAAGTTTCTCTTCCTCCAGGTTTAGTAGAAATTCATTTTATTATTTCATACTGTGTATGTGCTTGTGCAGTGAAACATATCAAGTGGTACGCATTTCAGGGAAATGGAAAAATAAATATTTTGAAGAGACCAAACTCTGAAGTTTTTCCCTTCTTTTCCCTCTTGAAATGCCATCCAATGACAATGAGGCTTCACTGCAAACATATTCATGTATGGAAACGACAGATGTAGGGCAATCCTCAAATATATATTTCAGAAGAGATGCTTTCAAAAAACTGAAACATAAGTCCAATAATTATGGAGATTTGAGAAGCAGCAGGGCGACTTATTCTCCTGAGTCTTCCTCATTGTTAAGTTGCTGAGAGGAGGGGATCCAGCTGTTTGTTAAGCTGAAGCAAGCAGGGACACCAGCTGCTTTCCTTTCCTTCAATCCCATCTTCCCATCCCCATCATCTATCTACCTGCCTTTCTGCACAGTCACCATTCTTCCCACCTGCATGTAACACATGAGCATTCACATTGATCATTTAAAAAAAAACTCTGATAAACATACACTGGATATGCAGAACTGGGAAGGAAGCGAACAGACAAGGATGGAAAGTGACATCTAAAATTCATAAATTATTTCTCAATATTGTGCCCTCAGAGGCAATACTGTGGGGTGCAATAAGATTCCAAGAACTGGCACATAAGTAGTTACTACTTGAAAGAGTTATGACATAAACCATAACAGCCCTGCTGCATTAGATGCAAGCGTAATTAGATGTTATGCTGTCCAGATTGATCAAGAATAAAGTCTCCACACAAAAAAAAAAACAGGGGCACATAAATTAACCAAGCCAATTAGGCCTGCAGTAGAAAGTCATGAACAACACAACCTTCCTTTTTCATTGCTAATGTCATAATGGAGAGACATCAGACCACCAAGGGAGGAAGTATTTGATTTTTGATACAAGATATGGCTGATGGCCTCTAAATTATCAGCACTTTATCTCAAAACAAAGAGAGGACTTACATGAGTATGGCAAAGCTGAGTGTCAGGCAATATAGCCATACTCATCAGTAGAGTTGGGAGTTCTTTCAAGGTATTGCTTGTCAATTAGAGACTCAATACATTTCTTGATCAAGGGGATGGAAGGTGTGAACCTTCCTTGCGATAATGTCAGCACCTGTCAGAGGGAATAAATGGAACATATTCTACATCCTGGATCCTCACAAGGCAGAGGCTGTCAAAAGCTTATCTCAAGCTACTTAAGCATATATAGACATACACTTTTACATGAAAAGGAAGAAAACTTGGAGGCATCTTTGAAATCAACATGAGAATGACAATGATGATGTAAGCATGCCATTCACTTTACAGGATGCACACAATACTAGAGATACAGCTATAATGAAATCAATAACCATTTCAGCTTCACTCATTGGTGGTTTTCTTGGGCTTTACAGGTGCATGTTTTTAATAGCAGATGCTGCATAGATTGCCATCATTTTTCCAGATAATTACTCTGTTCCCAAACATACATATAGAAAAATCCTGCCTGCTGCTGGTACTGTATCATTTTAACAGTAGGTGCTCCATTTAACTTCACAATGATTTTTGGTCTTTTTACATGATTAACACAACCCAAATGCCTCCAAAAATAATGCTGGTGGCATATAGCACATAAAAAACGATGCTAGTATGCTCTATATAGCAAAGAAAAAAAGGTCAAGCATGCATTAACGAAAAGGGAAGAAACTCTACAACTATGGTGAAGTTCCCTGTGCTCACACAAATATTGACCAGATACGAGGGGCGATCCAAAAGTTTCTGCCCTGAGATAGTAGAAATGATCAGAGAAAGCTTAAATTTTGTTCCCATATTCATTCATCCTTTTCAGGAATTTGAAGAGTCAGCAATCGGTCTTAGGTGCATTTATATTTTAAATAATGATTTGCATGTAAGACACGTTCTAGTCACTGAAAATATCAGTTTCAAAATGTAGAATTTTGAATTTGGAGTCATTTTTTATTTGTATTTAGTATTAAAACTATTCATATGATATAAATGTAATCATCCCGATGAGACATCGTGTCTCTTTGGTGAAGCCATATCAGCATTTTTAATTGATGGTGGAAAATGAATTTTTCCCAATAAATTTGAAGCACTGTTCCAACAATCGGACAAGCATTCATTTCCAGGGAGGTAATGCTGAAAAGTGAAATTTGTTTAAATAGTCTGTCACATTCCCTTATGTCTCAGGGCAGAAACTTTTGGATCATCCCTCGTACCTCAGGTGTGGATGCAAAAAGGTCAATCCATCACATAACCTACTAATAAGCAAAGGCATCACATGGGTTTCTCTGGTTAGCCTTTTAACTACTGAGTCTTCTGCTGAAGACCCTATTGGCTTTAATCAATTACCACAATAACAGCTCGTATATTGATATCGGTAAGCTTGTCACCTGCAATACTGACACAGCATCCTAGCATCGAGTATACTTGATCACCACATGGAAAAAGTTAGTATTTTCTCTTCCTCATTTCTCCTTTTGCAGGCATTTGTAGCAAAGTAGGTTTAGTGAAGTGTGGAAGATTTTATAGCTAATCTATTTACAATTTGCTTAGAGAGGTGAAAGAAATAGCCCATATATATAGGATAGAGATATCACCTCCTGAATGAGCTCATTGTGCTTGAGGATTTTACGGGATTTCATGATTCGGACAATGGCAGCCTGGATATACACTTTGCGATCCTCATCCACTGACGAATGAGTTTGCTCCACCTCCTGCTGTGTCTCTTTCTGTGATGCAAAGGCGATCTTGAATTTGGTCTTCTTGTTGCTATAGTTCATGTTCAAGGTCACCACTGACTCCTTCACTTCCTTCTCCTGTCCACAGAGGCACATGTTAGCTGCTATCAATAGCCACATGGAAAATAAAGATCATACTGGGTGGCTTAGATGTGAAAGTCTTGCCACCAGTTTGTGAATTAAATCTCTTACCAGAATAGTATTTTTTAAATTAGGAATAGAGCAACCTACTGAAGAGGAGCTGTTCACATTTTGCCTGCAATACAATGAATTAAGAACGAGTTTCATATTTCAAATAATTTAACTTTCAACAAAATCCAATTTGCAGGTAGCATTTGACAGACGAAAAGCCCTCCCTATTATGAGGTGATTGATAAGTTTGTTATCTTTATACGTATTATTTCCACATTTGCAGAGCAAAAAGTCCTTCAAGGAAACTAATTAAACTTTTGGTAAGGGTGTCTTTTTCCCCATAGAGTACCTAAACCACCTGCTCCCAGAGATAAAACCATGACAAGATGGCATCATGGGACATGAAATGTTCTTTCAACAGGAAGTTGTACCACAGTGTCATGTTAGGTGAGTGTGTTTGTCCATGATTCTTGAATTTCCTGGCCAACAGATATATTGACAAGGAATTTGGGGGCCCCACTGAGAGGCCCCCAAGGTCACCTGACTCAATTCCTGCATACTTCTTTCTTTGGAGAACATTTAAAAAACAGTGTCCAAAAAAAAGAAACTGACAAACATTTAGGAATTGGAGAAAGTGATCAATGCTGAGGACATTCTAATAAATACACATAAAATATGGCAAACTTCAGTCCTTGGCATATGTCAGTAATGCATAGCTCAAAAAGGAGAGCATTTTAAGCACCTCAAGAATAAAAACTACAAGGTATGGCCAAAAAAAAAGATCCATGACTTTGAACTTTTATAACTTTGCACTTGCTGTAGCTAATCTTAAGAAACTTATACTGTGCATAGACTGATAAACATATCAGTCTATTCAACACCCCTTAAAATTCCATGGAAATTCGTTTCCCTACAGCAGGACAATTACTTTTAAAAAATCAGAAATTGAAAAGGGAAAGGGGACTCTAGCCTATGCAGAGTGACAAGACTCTGCATAAGCATCTACAGTACAATGACTCTTCCAGCTTTCAAGCCCCAGCAGGGACTCATGTCCATTTTAAATGTCCAACTTATTTTCAATAATTTCTCAAAGCCTTTCTCTAGCATGATGAATATTAATTAAATTTTGCAAGCCTCATGCAAACATATGAGCCTTTGCAGGGTTTATATTTATTGAAAATAGCAGAAGTAAAAGAAAAGATTTTATGGCTAAGAGTCAGGGTGGCCTTCCCTGGAGGCCTCCTAATTTGGAATTAGGAGGCCTCTAGGGAAGTGCTGCTCTTTCCAATTGTGTTATTGGCTTCCACATGGGGTGTATGTTTCCTGCCTTGTAATTGAAGGTAAAGCAGAATTAAACTGATGAATCACCCTGTATACAGGTTGCCAAACAGTCAAGTCAAACATACAAGTGCTGAGTGCTGAGGGGCTCCTAATTGTCTCTAAGTGACAACCTATTTATGAAGGCTCACTAAACACTGGCAATCAAATGGAATCATTGCATTTTATACATTATATCCTGAATCCTTGTGCAGGTAGTAGACAGTCAAAGGCTCAAAGGATAATGAAATCTATCACAACAGTGTCACAGCAGACTATGAAAAATGGGATTAATGGTGGTCACAGGGGGGAGTTTGTCAACTTAAGCCTTCCTCTTTATGACCCTGTCCACATGTTCCCCATCCCTGAAACTTCAGCATATTCTTGTTGGTACCTTGCTCCCACAAAAATTAATAAAAATTAGTCTCTTTCAATCAATTCAGTTGACAGGGGCTAATTCATTTTTATGGAGGTTCTCCAGGAGGCAGGAGATGTCACTGCACTATAGGTTCAGGATACTGACTATAACTACTCAGTATGATGAAAGGGACACATGAAAGGAAGATAGAATTAAACCTGAGTGGATGATGGAGAGACAAGGAAAAGTTTGGCATCCACAAGGGAGGCAAAATGCTTTCCAAACTGATCCTCATTTAGATGGGTGTGTCGCTGGAGTTCATGGACTTTGTAGGAATCGCAAGTTGAGAACAGGAGGAGGATGGCCATCTGGTATGTCCCCAGTGTTACATAGTATGGCTTCTTCAAGTGATTCAGCTTCAATTCCCCTGTCCAACAAGGAGGATAGTTGTCATCTTGTCCAAATAGATTGAGGACATATTCCAAAAAAAAGAAGATATAAAGAGGAAGCAGACCATTGCAGAGATGATGCATCCATGTCAACTTCCTCCCAGTGAAATTAGAATGGTAGAATGTTTCAAACTGGCCCCCAAAAAATATTGAAAATGGCATGACATCAATGCTACAGATATAAAATGTTCACAAGATTACAACTTTTGAGGGGAAATTCAGGGAACTCACATGTTGCACTGACTTCTCAAGCTCTTGTGGCAAGGCAAATGGACTTAGGTTCATATTAGAGAATGGCCATGCCCCAGTCTGGAGGAAACCAAAAGAAAAGGACCTTGTTTTCATGGAAAATGTATATTAATGCTTATTCTTATTCAAACCAGTTATGAGCAGCATTCACCTGAAGAACATATATGGAAAAAGTGATCCCCAGGTCAACATTTCCCTTCTTGACATAGGCTGAGAACTTCTGATTCAGATCCGAGGAGATGGACATGTCAGTGAACATGCGGTGAAGCTTGTTGGTGAACTCATACCCACATGCTTCCTGTATAAAAATGAAAAACATCTCAGTAAGGCTCTTTATCTCAGAAGTAAAATACAGCAGAGCAAGCATGGAGAAGGGGGCATGTGAGAATGCCTAAAAAATGCTAAAAGAAATACCAATCAGAAGCAGCGCCTGTATGAAACAATGTGATAAGTTTCAAGGGAATTCCTCTTCCTCTTTCCTCTTCTCGTAACTTATTCGTCATAATTTCAATTTCAAAGAGACTAAAAAATTGTCCAAAAAACAATTCTTTAGCATTTCCATTTTTAACTTGTGACACAATAAAATGGAATGAATGTATGTACCTTAAGTCGATTGATCATGGCCTCCTCAGCATCCATGCTCATACTAAGCTGATGGATGAGTCGGCGAGAGAGCATCTTGGCATAGAACTTTTGGAACACATCCTTGTCATCAATGTAGCGGAAAATGATAATGGCACGAGCAAGCTTCTCATCCACTTCACTTTCACTCATGGACTTGCTGCTCTTCTTTAGCAGCATATCACAGTACCGGGCAAGCTGAGAAGCAAGTGACAACTGATAACAATGGTAGGACACCCAGAGCTTGCATAAAAATTCATATGAAGATGAACTCAGACTGAAAGCAAATTGAGATTTCTTCAACTTTTTGAATAGCTACATCTCTATATTTCCCTGACTTCTCCCAGGTCTGTGGGAATCCTAAATACCATTCAAAATTATCAATGACATAAAAATTCAGAGTAATGTAGTTTTCTAGTATATAGTTTTTTAATGGAAATGAACTTACCTTAACTAGAACAGCTAATATCATGAGTGTTTCTTTTTTTCTCCTGGCCCTATTCCAAAGCCTTTGTTCCCCAGATATTACCTTATTACCTTAAAAAATGTAATCTGGATACATTGTCGAAGCACCAAATACCAACTCAATAGTCCAACAGGTGAAACTATGAGTCCTTCGAAAAAAAGAACACCTACGACCAGCTTGGCAGGGAATGACAAATTTGTCAAGAACGCTTTCAAGTGCTTCGACCAGGTGAGGGTTAAAGAGCAGAGAACAAAATACCATTAGAACTCCATTTTAAAATTAAGAGATAGTACAAACAGTTGGGGTTAGGTATCTCAAATTATTCATTACACCTTGGGATGTCCTTATCAGGGTTTTCAAAACAAGATCAGTTTTCTGTTCCAAGCAAACAGAAGGTTAACTGCACTTCAGCCTTATGATAAAAAAAAAGGCAAAGCCTTCAGTCAAATCAGTCTAATTGAAGTTTCATGCCAAGTGCAATGCTAGTGCAAGTTCCATTAAAATATCTCCAGTGAGAGTCAAGGTATACAGTTAACAATAGGTTTTTCCCCTGCCATATCCCATACATGGAAGCGACCACTGATTCTATTTTCACAGAATCAATATAGAAAACCTTTGAAGCAGCAATATGACACTGGAAAACTTTTTATATTTCTTTAATTGATATGCTATCCCATCCTAGCTCAGATGACAGCATTGAAGGTCTTCATAATATGATATCTCATAATGGAAGCTGAAATTTTCAATAAAAAAGGGACATCCTTGCACAAGAGATAACCTAATATTATGTTCTCACTGGACAACTCCTTTAAAAAATGTGGAGGTGGGGAAATACACAAACACTCAATGGGAGATCAGAAGAGATAGGAGGGGACCATGTCACACACTGTATTAGACCACCCCTGGGCAAATGGACTGAAGTCAATATATGCAAGCATCACAAAGCTAATTTGCATAGGAATCCATTCAAGTAGACCTCCAAACTTATGCCAAAAACTTTAAAATGTCAAAATATTCTCTCCCTGCAATGTTCTTTTCTTTTACTGAACAGATTCCAGTAATGAGTAGTTCACATACCAAGAAAAAAAAAAAAAACACTTCCAGATGATAAAGAAAACCACCAACATGCAAACTATTTTTAATTTTGCAGACCTGAAATATTCCATCTCACAAATTGAGTTCATGCTGTATTTCTGATGAGGAAGTGTGGATAACCATTCACAAAGTTTACACAATGGACAGAACCACAGCAGAAATGAATCATAATGGTGCCAGAATTCATGTTTACACGACACATGGACAGTTAGCCACAGACTCACAATAAAAAAGTGCACCATTCATGATGAAGGGGGGGAGAGGAGTAAGAATTCAAAGGCTGCATCCCTTCCCTGTGCCTCACAGCACTGCACATTAACATTGTCAATAACCCACTTCCACCATGATGGGTGTTGGATAATGGTCTGACCAAATAAAAACCTTGAAAATGATGTTCTACATGTCTACATAGGATTTAGCAAATCCTATGTCCACATTTTTTTCATTCCATTAACTGCATGACTAATTCTTTTCTTGTCATCACTAGCATCATTAATTGCGTTTATTTGAGCAAACATTATTTCATGTTGACACTTTCATAGGGAACCTCAGCAAAGACTCACTAGTTCAGCTGAATGGCAGGGCTGTTTGGGGGTGGGCCTGTAATTGATGACAGCTGCACATGCTTTGTCCAAGGCACTCAGAAACAAGTGATCACCAAGAAAGATGCTTTGGACCATCTGGCTATATTTTGAATGGATTTGAAGGAGATTGTCCACAAATAAATTTGGGATCTGCAGAGAAGAGATAAAGCACTGTGAGACCCTCAACCCAGAGGGGGCATTGAAGGAGCATTACAAAATGAAGCAGTTGGTTGAAAGGTCTCACATTATCACCAGAGAGGCCATGTATAGACTCAAGACCCTTGGCTTTGATATGATCCTGAATGCGAGATGCAAGGACCCCAAGGCCAGATGGGATAGACTTGAGAAGGAGGTAGAGATTCTGCAGATCCTTCAGGTTTTCAAGAGAAACCATGTCTTTGGACTCACTGCTCAGGAGCTCCAAGTGATCTGCAACCATGCGCTGCTCACACTCTCCCACCACCTTCTGGTAGGAACTGACACGAATATTGATATTTTAATTATTTTCAGTCAAAAATGACTCAGTTGTGAATTGTGCCAAGAAGAATAATGCCCCAGCTATTTCCTAGCAGGAACATCTGGGGGAGATGTTAAATTAAGGAAATAAATACTTCATTCCAGAAAAGCAGGAAGCAGAATTAAGGTGAATAAGACTAAATGACAAGGAAATGGATCCACAAGATCACAGAACAGAGAAAATGCCAGCATCAACAATCAACCAGTTTATCATTTACCATGATTCCTTTCTTTTTCTGAAGCATATTTCTTGCATTTTTCCCAGTCACATCTTCAATGGGTTCCTGAAGAAGGCCATTTCATATTTGAGGGATTTTTGCCCTCTGATTTGCCTAGATTGTAGATCTAAGGCTTACTTACTTACTTGGTACTTCTAGAATGCCTAAGCTTGTGCCATAGTATTTTGGGAATCCAAATGGTATTTATAAGTCCTGGATGATGGTCATTCCACATGGGATAAAAGATTCCTGTTGGGGAATGAAATAACTGGGTTTGCCAAGATCTACACAAACCATGGTGAAAATTCTTGAGGCATGTCTTCATCTCATGATAAACAGGTCTAAACATTTTTGATGGAAGCTCTTTCATTTGACTGCTTCTTAAAAACACCTGTGCACATATTTTCAGCTACTTAAATATGATACCAAAGAAGAAAGAATTGTTTATGCCTGGCTATCATGACCATCAGTGTTTTACAGACATAATAGAGGCCAGATGGTTACCTGGGATTTAAGAACTTCCTGGCTCGTAAACACTCCTCATCCATCTTACTGATCACCTTCTCCATGTATTCAGATGTTGAGCTGTTTTCGAGAAGCCGCTGGGCTTCCTGCTGGTAATATTCTCCTGTTTCTTTTAGCAGGGATCCCTCAAATATGGTCTCATACAGCTGGAAAAAAAAACAAAAAAACAAATCAGATTCAAATGACTTACAAAGTTGTCGATAAAGTTATGAGAATTGGCATTGAAATCTTCCAACCATTTACATTAATACCTAGTCCATGTGTGCCATTTTCACTCAGTCTCCAGAAACTGTTCAGTACCTTTCCCATCTATGAAACCCACTGCTAGAAACCAGAAAGGATGAATTCCCTTAGTTGTAGAGAGTGCAAAATGGTAACTTCTGCCTGTGCATCATCTGTTGGTAGAAAATGGCTTGCAACCAGCCAATTAATATTTCAATGCTGGAAAGGGCAAGAAACATGCTAGTACAAGGTTTCTACCACATGCATGGTGAGTGCAGTAGAACCTTGTAAAACAGTTTATGGATTATCTCCACTCCAATATGAGCAGTACCAGCAGGGTAATCATATGAGGTGTGACCTACCACAGCATATTGGAAATTAACTGTGACCTGCACAGTTTGCATGGTATAAAATACACTCTTTTTTTTAACACGATTTTATTTTCCAAAGCTACTTAGGCCTGCAAATTTCATCATTTGACTATCGTCAGGTTTCACATTAGATTAATCAGTGAACGTAGACTTGATGTCCCTAATGAATACCTCGAACATGTTGTTTTTGGGGTTGAGACCATGCCACCAGGCCTCAATGAGGCGCCTTAGCAGAAGCTCGAGCATTGTCCCATGCATTTTTTTAGTTTGATCTAGCAAAATGCCCTGTTCACAGAGTCAGTTAACTGAACTCTACTTGGTAATGATTATTGAGTAAAAATCTTGGCATCGCAGCATCTACTGCTGCTGATAGAGCAACGTGCCTCTATCTACCCCAATACGTATGCGGTGGCAGATCCAGGGGGGAGGGGGAATGACTGCCCCCCCCTATGGCCAGGTTTGCATTCTATTTTTTTTTAGTTTAAAAGACACCTATATTAATCTTTATTGGGGCCAGTGAAGTAGATATCCAAGTTTTTACCCCAGACGAAAAATGAAAATGGCAGTAGGATGGAGAGTGGTGGTAGGTTGGGGGGGAGGGGGGTTGTTAGAACTAAGGAATCCCCCTCCCCCTATGAAAAATTTCTGTATCCACCACTGTATGCATGTGACCCCACCCATGCTTCCCATTCAGTGACACTGACAGGCATATTGGTGGCAAATTTGGGGAGAGGAGGGGGGGAGGTTGAGTCTGGGTTGACAGTTGACCTCCCCCCTCAAATAAACCTCCAAATATGCCTTTCAGGTCATGTAATGTTGTCATTATAGTGTAGTGTAAGACACCACCCCACATGGTAGGTCACACCTCATGCCCAAAGAGCTGTGGTAGGTCACAGGCCATACAGTAGGTCATACCTCATACAATTACCATGAGCAGTTTACAGTTGGGTGTTTTCAATATGCAGCAAAAATCTCCTGTATCAAACCAGGTCCCTTCTAGTTCAATGATGGATAAAATACAGGTCAATATTACTGGTCTCCTGGCTTGACTCTTTGCAACACAGAAGAGTTAAATGGCATGCTACCAGTCATTTTTACTTGCCAGATGATGTGCAGGAAGAAGTTACTGATTGCTGATACCAGCAACCTATTTTATCCTTCACTTCTTCTGGCCTCTGGAAGTGTGTTGCAAGTGCAGTTGCATGGTCTGTGTGGAAATGGTATTTGTGGACTAGGTATCAATGAATCAAGTTTGCAATTTTCTTAGCAAAAATTCCCAGTTAATGGCAACTCTAATATACACTGCACATCAATGAAGTGGGTATTTTGTTTTCTCCATGTTATTTGAATTCTGCTGTTATCTATAATTAAAATGTGTCAAAACAAAAAAAAAGTTCTTACTATACAACTCAGTAGAATTGTAAATAATAAGTTGAAATGAATTGCCTGTCATTTATTTCACAACAAAAAATACACCTAAGTTACTTTTAAATGAGAAAATATAAAATAACCACTTCAATCGACACACAGTGTATTAAAGTGACTTTTAGAAGGTCTATCTCATCTGCACCCAAGATAGAAAGTGCCCAGAAATGCACTCACATGCAATGGGGTCTTTCTCTTGTAGTTCTCAACCTGGACCAGTGACTGAATGACACCATGGACAACAGTGACATTGGGGCTTGCACCAAGCCTGTCATTATGAATGCCTTCAAGGAGGAGCTTGACCAATGTGTCCTTCAGAGGCAGAATCATCCCTCGCCTCCAGATTGAAAGTGCTGTGGAATGCAAGCATAGTTTTAATAAAGAAAATGCAAAAAGGAAGACAATCCTGACTCAATTATCAAGAGCCCTATGACCTACCAAGTTCCCCAATTTCTAGCATTTGCTCTTGAGTCTCTATATCTGAGTCGCCATACACCAGGTCAGCATCTGTGGGCTTCTGCTTCCTGATATGTTGTGAATTTAAATACCTGGAACAAACAGCATCAATTATCGGCCACCTTTCCTCTTGAGGGTCCCAGAAAGAGGAAGAGGGATCCAGACTCACGTGAACAAATTGTTTAGGTAAGATGTGCCAATGCTATATTCCAACCATTGGCTATGATAATTAAGAAGAAGATTCTCTTCCTGTGTCTTGCTCACCCCCTCAAAAATCTTATCCACATGCTTTTCCAGGGACTTTTTTATCTCCTGATAAAGTCTATCACCAAGGGGATCAGGTTGGGCCACACAAAGTGCATACACATCTCTGATTCAAATGTTGTTAAGGAAAGTCAAGCACCAGATGTAACCCCTCCCTATGATTAGCTCAGAGTAAAAAGGGGAGGGAATGTCATCATCTATGTTACCCTTAATTCACTGTCAACACTCTGCATCAAAGGGCAGTGTCATAGGCCTTTATTTAGCTTACTTTCCATCTCATCGAACCTCCACAGGATAATTAGTTTAAAACCAACATTAGGTATAAAGATAACTATGATCTTCTCCGCAACTAAGCAAAGATGATAGAGAGGAGAGGTTATGAGAGACAAGATTGGGTAAGGAGTGAAACAACAAACTTAACATTAGAAGGAAGGAAGGATTAGCATCAGGCACCAGAGGTGAGGTGATGATATGAAAACTCCAATTAATTATGGGCATGGATACCAAGTAATTTACTAACATCAAGAGGAAATTCTAAGCCTGGGACTAAGCTAAGTGCAACAGTGCCAACCTAAGTCAGTTGAAAGGATACGAGAACCTGTCATTCCAGACAGCCTTGGGAATTTTTCTCAAGGTGATGACTCCTAATAAGGTGTCCTTGATGAGAGGCCATGTGTCATCGAAGTTCATAGGACGAGGCTTCAACGACATTTTCGTTCAAACTTTCAAGAAGCCACTCGCAATTCAACTTCGTCAGAAATCGATGGAGAAAGGAGAGAGTAAAGAAGGCTCGCACTGTACAGCAATTTTCCCCTACTCAGCATCTCATACCTTGAAGAGAATTTCAAGGTTCAGCAATCCACAAACAAGTAGATACATTTATCCGTAGCTTCGGACCTGACGCAATTGAGCCTACAAGAAGCGGCACAACCTTACATATGCATAACCTACAAAGCGTATCAAACGACAACGTTAGAGCAAGCACAGAACCTCTATGTGATGCAGGGAGCAGCCATGGTAATTCATGACTGAAACAGTGTTGTCGTAACTTTCTCTCTGGACTTGAGCCCACTGGTCTTTGTATTTCTGGAAAGAGAATGAAATTTAATGATCTATTCTCAAGTCTGAAACGATGACACATAATTTGATGTATTTTCATGAATTATTTTGTAGATTTTAATGCAAAGTCTGACTTTGGGAGCCTGCCTTTAATATTATTATTATAGCCGGTTGCACTGACCCAGACTAAGAGTCAATGCAACCAAGATTGAAGCCAGGCTTTTCCACGTCTGACTTTCAAGGAAAGCAGTACAACTGGCCCAAGGTCTTATTTCTAATTGCAGCAGACGCTGCTGCCACCTGCAGCTGAGGGCAGAGCTGGGTGAGCAGCAAGGGTAGTTCGAGAACATCATAATTAATATGGTGGTTATGGACGCAGCACGTCCAGCGGTTAAATTAAATTCGCAATCTAAATCTTGGACACTTGATTCCAGGCATAGTTGGGAGATGTAAGAACCTGATATATTATTATAACCGCTTCTCAGAGTCCGGTAATATGTGGACAGAGTGAGAAAGAGCGAGAGAGAGAGAGGTGCACTCAGCCATAGAAAACCAAAATCAGGAATAAGAGGTTATTCTTTTTCGGAAGGGAACTAAGACTGCTCAGCCGAATGGAATCCCTCAGTGAGCTGAGAAAGACCGCCACTTTCGTCGTGTTAAGTAGGCATGAAAGTTGGGACAATGCAGGATGTATTCCCATGCAAGTCCACGAATAATCCTACCCATACCATTTCAGAAACTTGGCACATCCTTTTTCCTTTTCTTATCTTCTAAACCGGGTCAATCTTCCATGCATTTCATTCAATAATCTTCTACCAGAAGTACTTTTTTTTTTAAGCAGACGCCAGGACCAACCTCCAAGTCTGCCTCTGAGGCCATTATTGCTAAGCTTAAGCAGATAAGGACGTGTCGTGACGCTCGGGTAGAAGTAAGGGTGACGGTATACGCGATTCCAAGCCGATTGGATAACGGGAGGCATGACGTGGTCTCGGTCGGAAGGAGTTAATGATAGGTTGACGGAAGAACGTATCGCGGAGGAGGCGGCTTTTTTGGACACCAGAGAAGCTATGAAGCGATGTGCGCGTCCTATGGCTAGTAATGGTGTTCATTTCTCCAAGGAGGGAGCTAGAACGGTCGGCATAGAAATTAAGAGATGCAGTCTTTTTTTTTAGGATTATAAATCGGGGGGTAATCACTCACGGGCATGGGACAGCCACTACGCGTAGTTCTATGCCTCGACATAAGAGAGGGAAAACAAGGTCAACAGGCTTGATTTTTTGCGTTTGTTAATTGCGTAGGATAAGGATTGGAAATTCAGAGATTCGACACTGCGTAATGATAGGCTCGGAAGGAAGGGCGGTGGGTCATGTTATATGGGAGAAACGAACTAGGTGTCCGCGTTCGAGAGAATTGATGGAAATCAATGTGTTCAACCCAAAGTCTGCATGATATTCAGGGCCGGCGTTTGAGATAGGGCGTCTCGCTCGAAAGAGGAAGCATAGATCGTAAGAGAGGGATACCCAGTAGCGTGTCCAGGAAATCTAAATGAGAGGAATGACATAAGAAAATGGTAACCCACCCTGCTTTTATGGTAAACAAATTATTAAATAAAAAAAATCTAACCTGTAAAATGTATCCCAAGGGGGAGGAAGAGTGGAGGGGGGTTATGGATGGGGGTCATAACCCTCCCCCCCCCTTTGGCACGCCAATGGGGATACTAGTACTTATATGACTGATTTTCACGTACTGTATTCAGTACAGTGGTACGAACAAGAAAATGGGTTCGACTCCTTACTGAAGATGAATAATTCTAGATAGCGGACCTTCCCTATCTTTGATGAAAGCATCTTTCCAAAGCCATTTTGAGCTTTGCTCAGCAGCCCCGAAACTTCTTTAATGTAAATTCTATTATTCACTTCTATTAAGTCTATTTCGAGGGAGTTCTGCTTCTTGGAACGAACACTGCTGACTCAAGTTTATTCCGCTTCTTTTTTATACTTTAATCAGCGGCGTGCCCTCTCTCTCCTGGAAGGGCCAGGGGAGAGAGGGCACGCAGCCCTCCCCCCACCACTTTTCAAGAATAGAAGCCAAAGAAAGACCCCAGAAATATATGATAACAGTATCTGAGCTTCCTGGACCCCCCCCCCCCCCGACTCCACTCCCTACATATGCACACTTTTTCATCCATGCTACGCTTA